CTAAAAATATATACCTGAAACTAATAAAACCCTAACCCTAACCCCATGTGATGTCGGTTAAATGAACTTTCGGTGAAATGACTGTCGGTGAAGTGAGCGGCACCGAAGTTTTTGCCAGTATTAATAGATGTACCAAAATTATTCACACGATCAAAATTTTGGTTTCAGAAATTTACACAAACTTACCGTTACGTAAAATTACGTAAAATTACGATAATTCTACAACCCTAATTACCAGCATGTGTTTTCTCTGTTCGGGTAAATTTATAATGCTCAATATTTACGTGGACTATTTTAAATTACCATTTACGCTTAATTTTTTTAAATTCCCTTTACGTGACAAAAATTGTACGATTTTTTATAACAAAAAAACATTCCGATTTAGTAATTTTATTAATCATTTTATGCGTTACCATTTTAATAATATATCAATTGTCGAATTTAATTGTTTTTTTTTACATTTAAATATCAACATAAATAAAAAACAATTCATTTTGGCTGAGTTTTTTGAATTACTCGAATTTGGCATAGCGCACACTAGCTTTACCAGCACGAGATATACATATATATTCGGTTAGAACAAAATAATTAATATACTCAAATGATCGGCATGCACCTTAACATAACGATAATATTCATGGGATATCGAGTTGAGTAAAGTCAACAGATCAAAAATATAAGGTGTGAAAATGGTGTGTGAAAAATAGACAACGTATAACAGTATGTGACGAACAGAGTCACGCGGACCAATCAAATGCTGAGAATTGTACAGACACATACACTACGTACTTTGTACTCCGTTCCTGGTATATATGAAAATTAAAAACTGTTTGTAATTAATTTTAACCGATTAAGAAAATCTTATCAGTGAATTTGTCAATCGTAAAAGATTTTTGATAAATAATTAATCTATGTACTGTACGCTTATTTTAATATAAAAATATATAAATGAATAATATTTTATTATTTAATTCTTTTAATTATCAAGGTACCAAAGAAACAAGTTTTTGTGGTCAATTTTCATGTTAATGGCTTTAATAAGAAATAGTGCGTTGTAATTATTACAAACGGTTGACTCATTTTACCGACGGTCATTTAAAAGAAAAAACCTTAACCCTAAATCGGGCTAATATGTCAATGAAATGACCTGTCGGTGAAATTATACATGAGTGTTTAAATTATTTCTCTTAATATTTATTTCGCCAATTAGTTTTTCTTAGTGGCGAAATTAATTTTCATAGTTGCCGAAATTATTAGAGAAATTATTACAAAATATATTAAAGAGTATATATAGTTAAATGGCTTTCGGGAAATTGAGCTATGAAATGAGCGAAACTTGAATTATATTTGAAAATTGTATGAAAAAATCTTGATAATTACAATTAGTTTTATTATAAGATAGAAACGGTAAGCTTAAAGTCTCTTGTACATGGTCTCTATTTTACTGTCTCTGCGTGTTATTTCCAGGCACTTTTAACCCGTAATGATAATCTGCAAAAGAAAAATATTGAGTTCTTTTCTACTTAGTCAATATGAGAACATATGTACTTTGTATTATAATTCTGTGAATTTTTTTTTTTTTTTTTTATAAAAATCGAATGAAAAAACAAGCGATTCTTTATTGATACAATATACTAAAAAGATTTAAAAAATTTTATTTTAACAAATTCGAATTATATCTGAAAAATAGATTCAGGTTCAAAAAATTAGTTTAAGAATTACTGTATAATCATTATAACGTATAAAACATGATTTGTTGCAAGTAAGACAATGAGGTTTAACAAAATGTATAGCATGAATGAAAAATTATTTCTAGTAAAATTAATAAATTCGTTGATCATGGTGAATCATCTTGCTTGATATCATAATAAGACGGAGATTCTCTTTTGTAATAGTGATATGGTGAAGTTACTTCCTTTTTGTAATGAAGATAATAATTTCCCGGGGATGAAAAATAGTAAGGTATAGCCTTCGAATTACGTTTTTTATTATTATCATTTTCGACATCCTGTCCATTGGACTCTTTATCTTCGTTTTGTTTATTAGATTCGTTACCACTCTTTTGAAGTTTATAGTAGTAGAAATAAGCCTTTGGGGAAGCAAACGCATCACGTTTATAAAATGAAAAAATCGGCCAGTCACGTTTATCTCCATCATCACGTTTACGATGAAAGTTGTTAGGGTATAAAGCACGTTCATCTAAATGAATAAATTAATAACATGAACAATATATTTTATATTGCATATAAATATAATATTTTTCGTTAAGCACTTACATTTATACCAATCATCATATTCCCTTTCGTTTAGATCATAATCAGCAAAGACGACTGTAAATAATAAAGTTATTAATATTAAGAAATTATTGAATTGCATTTTTTTTTTTTCTTAGGTTTTGTTGGAGTGATAGTGACTTTTTATTTTTATTCACTATTCAACGATGAATGTTGAAAGTGGGGATTTTTTGAGGTGTTTATATAGCTTCTGAAAAGTATGTTTTAGTTAATTGTTATTAAATGCTTACGCATTTTTTACACGTCAAGTTCAATACAAATATTTTCTCGAAAGCATTTAAATAAACAAAATCATTATCGAGATGGTGAAATAATCATTTGACAAGTCAGGATATCAGACCATGTAATGCTTAGCTTAGTGACGAATTATTCTGCATAGCTTTGTTTAAGTCATTTATGAAAATTTAAATAACTTATTTGTTTATATCTTTGAAACGTGGAGATTCAGAAATTTGAAATTTTATTGTAAATTATCGCAACACGTATTTAACTAATCCACGCAATTGGATCGATCCACATTGGGCGCATTGGGCGTAGCAAACGATCGATAATCACAAATGGGGTAACGTTACACGACATAATTTTTTTAACGTTTTAAATGGAAGACCTAATAGAAGACATAGAAACAACCCATTTATCAGCAAAAGAGAGGAAAATGATAAAAACTTTGTCACAGAAACTCAGGTAACTATATGCTTTGTGAACTTATAATTAGTGACATTCTTCTTTGCATGACCTTCTGGGCAATATTTAGTTATATTTGAGATCGAAAATCTCAAATAGTGGGACATTATCGAGTTTCACCGGCTATGGGTAGAAAATAACAATGAAACCAGAGAAGCTCACTTATATAAAGGCCGCAGATAAATTTATAAAGAGAAAACAAAGGCAAGTGCATAGATTTTCTTGTTGCAACTAGATAGAGGTTTCTATAGGCTGAAGCAACATCAACAACACGGGAATATCAACAACACGGGAATATCAACAACACAGAAACATCACCAGCACGGTTAGTTAGTTTGACTCGCTTACGACTACGTGAGCATTCTGCTTGATGGCCCATTTATGATCTGTTCGATCATTGTGAACGGCTAGCTTAGGAGAGTTCTGTTTTTGTGTAATTTTCATTTTTAGAGATAAATTGCCAAACCAATCCTTTCATTAAATTACGAACCAACAGCACTCTTTTTATAGCAATATGAGAACTTTAATTGCATAATGCCAGGAAGTACAACCTGATCAAACATAACAGAACTTTATATAAATCTCTTGCTAAAGTAAAAGGAACTAATAAATAGGACCTACATATATCAGTTGTATTATTAGCATATTAAACAAAAAAACATGCTATAACAGAATACATACTATTTTAACTTGTATATAGTAAACAAATTACTCTACTAATTAAAACAATTCTATCTATAGAGCTTATAAAAAATAAAGAAATAAAACTAAGTAATAGTATTTTATAATATGTATATAGTTAATAGAGAAGTTTTCTTTATATCACCAAAGTGCAAAAGATAATATGGAAAAATTATAACAAAAACAAAAAGAATTTATAAATAAACAAGTTTATTGTAAAGAATTTAGAATAGAAAAAAAGGTTAGATATAGTAAAAAGATATATAACATTCTTGTTTAATAAAAGAGAATTAGATTTATATAATATAAAAGAAATTAAAGAATAAATTTTAAAAAATAAAAATAGAAGATAGAAAAATATTAAAAAGATATTATAATAATAACAGACTTATTAAATATTATGAAAAGTAAGTATAGAAACTAATAATTATTATTTAAATTTCTAAAAAAAAATTTATTACATAGATAAAATTAGTTAAACAAATTTTGTATAATTTAAAAATTTATAAATAAAATTAGAACTTAATAAAAATTATTTAAAAAGAAAATTTCTAAAAAGAAATAAACAAATTAATATTATAATATCTGATAATCTTAGTATAATACTTAGGTTGCTAGACTACTATACAAGAGGTTTGGAGTTCAAATCCCACTGTCAATAAATTTGAATAATTACTCAGATCTTTGTATTCAACTTATAGCAAACCCTGTTTATTTTTGGAGTTATAATCTTGTAAATCTTATTGCACTAATATTATTCAGATATTAGAAATGCAATATAATATTGCACAAATAAATCTTAATAGAATCTATGAGCAGGAGATTTGTATAATAAAAACTTTAAATTAGTGAAGTAGTATAGCTTTCAACAGTCATATCAATTAACACTTGATCTGAATAGAAACTGTTACTCAAAAAGATATAAATCAAGTTAGATGTGAGTAAGTTCATTTTACAAGGAGAATTAGCAATACTAATCTGACTTGGTGGCTAACTGAATTAGGAGAATATACCTTATAAAATATCCAAAGAGATTATTAAACAATATTAGTAGAGAGCATCATAGAAACTGAAGTTATACAAATATCACAAGGGTCTAAACTAGATGAACTTATGAAATAAGTACAGCTACTCTAGTAGGAATACTTATAAGGTTAACTAGAGCTCTGTGTACTCACAATATATTGAGCAATACATATTCTGAGAAAACCTAAGCTGAGTTAGATAAATAGATCTGTAATGAGCTAGTTGGCTTAAATAGTTAGATATTATAGTAATATTAGTTGATTCTAGTATAGATTAGTTGAATAGAGTATTTAAATAGGTAATTTACAAGTAGGTTACAGATATAGTAGCTTGTATAGAACTAAACAGAGGATCTATCTATATAGAAGACTACTTAGATTAGATAATAACTAGGTTATATACTCTTTATATAATTATAAACTGTAGTGTATTATCAATAGATAATCTTATATATCAACTAATAAAATTCACTTAGTATAGTAAGCTGTCTTAATTAAAAAAAAACAAATTAATATTACAACTTCAAAACTTTAATTATTTATAAAATTTTCTTAAAAAATAATATAATAGACTTTATATTATCATTTAAACTATATTCTAGACAAATTTATCTAAAAAATTAAAGAATAAATACTATTTTTTAAATAATTTAATAAAATATTAATAATATAGGGTCTATATTATATATAGAATATATTTTTTTTTTGTTATTAAGGTAGCTTATATTGTTGAGTAAATTTTATTAGTTAGTATATATAAAGTTGTTTGTTAACAATTCTCTATAATTTGTAATTAATGAAGAGTGTACAATTTGCTATATGTACAACTTTAGTTATTATCTAATTTAAGTAGTCTACTATATAAGTAGATCATCTGTTTGGTTCTACACAAGCTACTATATCTGTAACCTACTTATGAGTTATCTATTTAAATACTCTATTTAACTAATTTATATTAGAATCAACTAATATCACTATAACATTTAATTGCTTAAGCTAACTAGCTTATTATAGATTTATTTATCTAACTTAGCTTAGATAATTATAGATTATACAATACTCAATATATTGTAATATCTGCAGAGCTAGTTAATCCTGTAGTATATTTACTAAAGTAGTCAATACTTATTTCATAAATTCATCTAGCTTAGACTCTTGTGATATTTATATAATTTCAGTTCCTACTATAGCTCTCTACTAATATTATTTGCAAGTTGGTATTGCTAATTCTCTCTATAGAATGAACTTACTTATATCTAACTTGATCTGCATTTTTTGAATGATAGTTTCTAATTAGATTAAGTATTAGTTGATATAATTATTAAAAGCTATACTATTATACTAACTCAGGGTTTTTACTATACAAGTCTTCTGTTTGTAGATCTTATTAAAATTTATTCATATAATATTATATCATACTTTTAATATTTGAATAATATTAGTATAATATGATTTATAGAATTATAATCTCAGAAACAAATAGGGTTTACTATAAGTTAGATACAAAGGTCTAAATAATTATTCAAATTTGTTAACAGTAGAATTTGAACTTCAGACCTCTTGCATAGTAGTTTGATAATCTAACTACTATACTAAGATTATTAGATCTTATATATAGAATATATTATTAAAAATATATTCTATAAACTTTATTAAAAAATTTTTTATTTTTACTAAGTAGTTTTTGAATAATAAATTTTTAAAGTTTATATTAAAAAATTTTTTATAATTAATTTTTTTTAAAAATTTTTAAAATTTTATATATTATAGATCTAATAATCTTAGTGTAGTAATTAGATTACCAAACTATCATATAAGAGATCTGAAGTTCAAATTTTACTATTAATAGAATTAAATAATTACCTAAACCTTCTGTATTTAACTTATAATAAACCCTGTTTATTTTTAAAATTGTAACCCTATAAATTATATTATACTAATATTATTTAGATATTAGAAGTATGATATAGTATTTGAAGAGACATAATATTATACAAATAAATCTTAATAGAATCTATAAGCAGAAAATCTGCATAGTAGAAATTCTGAGTTAGGTAAAGTAGTATGAATTTTGATAGTTATATTAGTTAATATTTAATTTAGAAAAGAAAATCTGTATATGAAAAGATTAGCTAAATAAATACAATTAAGTTTATTACACAAAGTCATATAGCAATATCAACTTGGCTTAGTAGCTAACTAGATTTAGAAGAATTTGTCTTGTAAAATATCTGAAGATACAAATAACTAATTTAGTAAAAAGCTATAGTAGAAACTAGATTTGACAAATATTGAACAAGAGTATATACAAGCTGAATTAGAATATAGTATAGCATAGTTAGGTTTTACAGTACCTATTAATTAGAAAGTTGATAAAGAAGTATCTTGAGATAAGTTCTAGGCTCTGAATTATAAAGTTTGTAGATACATATTAGCTCTGTTAATATCTTCTAAAAATAAAAGTAGTACAAAATTAGGTAAATTTGGTAATAGAAATAGAATATAAGTAAAATAGCAGATAGCCAAAGGGTTTAAATAGAGAATTTTTAAATAAATTTCAAGTATAGTAGCTAATGTAGAACTTTTAGATAAGCTACTTAAATTAGATAATCTAAAGTTGTATATGTAGCTAGTTGTACTCTTATATATTAGAGTTAATACTTCAATTCAAATATAAATATATCTGAATTGA